TTTGTGTACTCCAGGGGTTGTGTTTGTGTACTCCAGGTGTTGTGTTTGTGTACTCCAGGAGTTGTGTTTGTGTACTCCAGGTGTTGTGTTTGTGTACTCCAGGTGTTGTGTTTGTGTAATCCAGGGGTTGTGTTTGTGTACTCCAGGTGTTGTGTTTGTGTACTCCAGGTGTTGTGTTTGTGTACTCCAGGGGTTGTGTTTGTGTACTCCAGGTGTTGTGTTTGTGTACTCCTGGGGTTGTGTTTGTGTACTCCAGGGGTTGTGTTTGTGTACTCCAGGAGTTGTGTTTGTGTACTCCAGGTGTTGTGTTTGTGTACTCCAGGAGTTGTGTTTGTGTACTCCAGGTGTTGTGTTTGTGTACTCCAGGGGTTGTGTTTGTGTACTCCAGGTGTTGTGTTTGTGTACTCCAGGTGTTGTGTTTGTGTACTCCAGGGGTTGTGTTTGTGTACTCCAGGTGTTGTGTTTGTGTACTCCAGGGGTTGTGTTTGTGTACTCCAGGGGTTGTGTTTGTGTACTCCAGGAGTTGTGTTTGTGTACTCCAGGTGTTGTGTTTGTGTACTCCAGGAGTTGTGTTTGTGTACTCCAGGTGTTGTGTTTGTGTACTCCAGGTGTTGTGTTTGTGTAATCCAGGGGTTGTGTTTGTGTACTCCAGGTGTTGTGTTTGTGTACTCCAGGTGTTGTGTTTGTGTACTCCAGGGGTTGTGTTTGTGTACTCCAGGGGTTGTGTTTGTGTACTCCAGGGGTTGTGTTTGTGTACTCCAGGAGTTGTGTTTGTGTACTCCAGGTGTTGTGTTTGTGTACTCCAGGGGTTGTGTTTGTGTACTCCAGGGGTTGTGTTTGTGTACTCCAGGAGTTGTGTTTGTGTACTCCAGGAGTTGTGTTTGTGTACTCCAGGGGTTGTGTTTGTGTACTCCAGGTGTTGTGTTTGTGTACTCCAGGAGTTGTGTTTGTGTACTCCAGGGGTTGTGTTTGTGTACTCCAGGTGTTGTGTTTGTGTAATCCAGGGGTTGTGTTTGTGTACTCCAGGTGTTGTGTTTGTGTACTCCAGGTGTTGTGTTTGTGTACTCCAGGGGTTGTGTTTGTGTACTCCAGGTGTTGTGTTTGTGTACTCCTGGGGTTGTGTTTGTGTACTCCAGGGGTTGTGTTTGTGTACTCCAGGAGTTGTGTTTGTGTACTCCAGGTGTTGTGTTTGTGTACTCCAGGAGTTGTGTTTGTGTACTCCAGGTGTTGTGTTTGTGTACTCCAGGGGTTGTGTTTGTGTACTCCAGGTGTTGTGTTTGTGTACTCCAGGTGTTGTGTTTGTGTACTCCAGGGGTTGTGTTTGTGTACTCCAGGTGTTGTGTTTGTGTACTCCAGGGGTTGTGTTTGTGTACTCCAGGGGTTGTGTTTGTGTACTCCAGGAGTTGTGTTTGTGTACTCCAGGTGTTGTGTTTGTGTACTCCAGGAGTTGTGTTTGTGTACTCCAGGTGTTGTGTTTGTGTACTCCAGGTGTTGTGTTTGTGTAATCCAGGGGTTGTGTTTGTGTACTCCAGGTGTTGTGTTTGTGTACTCCAGGTGTTGTGTTTGTGTACTCCAGGGGTTGTGTTTGTGTACTCCAGGTGTTGTGTTTGTGTACTCCAGGGGTTGTGTTTGTGTACTCCAGGAGTTGTGTTTGTGTACTCCAGGGGTTGTGTTTGTGTACTCCAGGGGTTGTGTTTGTGTACTCCAGGAGTTGTGTTTGTGTACTCCAGGTGTTGTGTTTGTGTACTCCAGGGGTTGTGTTTGTGTACTCCAGGGGTTGTGTTTGTGTACTCCAGGAGTTGTGTTTGTGTACTCCAGGAGTTGTGTTTGTGTACTCCAGGAGTTGTGTTTGTGTACTCCAGGTGTTGTGTTTGTGTACTCCAGGAGTTGTGTTTGTGTACTCCAGGTGTTGTGTTTGTGTACTCCAGGTGTTGTGTTTGTGTACTCCAGGGGTTGTGTTTGTGTACTCCAGGTGTTGTGTTTGTGTACTCCAGGGGTTGTGTTTGTGTACTCCAGGGGTTGTGTTTGTGTACTCCAGGAGTTGTGTTTGTGTACTCCAGGAGTTGTGTTTGTGTACTCCAGGAGTTGTGTTTGTGTACTCCAGGAGTTGTGTTTGTGTACTCCAGGGGTTGTGTTTGTGTACTCCTGGAGTTGTTGTGTTTGCAGAGATCAAGCTCCAGATCTTGGACCCCAGTTCTGCCGAGCCCTCACCAAGTGTGTGGATGGAGGCACTCCCCCTCACCTCATGTGGCCCAGCAGGCAGTAACGGTGCGGGTGGCACCCTGTTGAGCAGTAATGGTAGTGGCCCTCACCTCCCCCCCCCTTGGGTACTGTATGGAGGTTGAGCACACACCTGGGGTCATGGCACCCCCCCCATATGACACCTACACCCAGCAAGACACAATAAACGAGACAATAAACAGTCTGGCCAGGTGTACACCCTCACACAGTGTGGTCAGGTGTACACCCTCACACAGTCTGGCCAGGTGTACACCCTCACACAGTCTGGCCAGGTGTACACCCTCACACAGTCTGTGCCAGGTGTACACCCTCACACAGTGTGGTCAGGTGTACACCCTCACACAGTCTGGCCAGGTGTACACCCTCACACAGTCTGGCCAGGTGTACACCCTCACACAGTGTGGTCAGGTGTACACCCTCACACAGTGTGGTCAGGTGTACACCCACACAGTCTGTGCCAGGTGTACACCCCACACAGTCTGTGCCAGGTGTACACCCACACACAGTGTGGCCAGGTGTACACCCCACACAGTCTGTGCCAGGTGTACACCCACACACAGTGTGACCAGGTGTACACCCCACACAGTCTGTGCCAGGTGTACACCCACACAGTCTGGCCAGGTGTACACCTACACAGTCTGGCTAGGAGTACACCCTCACACAGTCTGTGCCAGGTGTACACACACACACAGTGTGGCCAGGTGTACACCCTCACACAGTCTGTGCCAGGTGTACACCCCCACACAGTGTGGCCAGGTGTACACCCTCACACAGTCTGGCCAGGTGTACACCCTCACACAGTCTGGCCAGGTGTACACCCTCACACAGTGTGGCCAGGTGTACACCCTCACACAGTCTGACCAGGTGTACACCCTCACACAGTCTGTGCCAGGTGTACACCCTCACACAGTCTGTGCCAGGTGTACACCCTCACACAGTGTGGTCAGGTGTACACCCACACACAGTGTGGCCAGGTGTACACCTTCACACAGTCTGGCCAGGTGTACACCCTCACACAGTGTGGCCAGGTGTACACCCTCACACAGTGTGGCCAGGTGTACACCCTCACACAGTGTGGCCAGGTGTACACCCTCACACAGTCTGGCCAGGTGTACACCCACACAGTGTGGCCAGGTGTACACTCACACACAGTCTGGCCAGGTGTACACCCCACACAGTCTGGCCAGGTCTACACCCCCACAGTCTGGCCAGGTGTACACCACACACAGTCTCACAAGGTGTACACCCACACAGTCTGGCCAGGTGTACACCCCACACAGTCTGGCCAGGTGTACACCCCACACAGTCTGGCCAGGTGTACACCCCCACAGTCTGACCAGGTGTACACCCACACAGTCTGGCCAGGTGTACACCCACACAGTCTGGCCGGGTGTACACCCACACAGTCTGGCCAGGTCTACACCCCCACAGTCTGGCCAGGTCTACACCCCCACAGTCTGGCCAGGTGTACACCTACACACAGTCTGGCCAGGTGTACACCCACACAGTCTGGCCAGGTGTACACCCTCACACAGTGTGGCCAGGTGTACACCCACACACAGTCTGGCCAGGTGTACACCCCACACAGTCTGGCCAGGTCTACACCCCCACAGTCTGGCCAGGTGTACACCACACACAGTCTCACAAGGTGTACACCCACACAGTCTGGCCATGTGTACACCCACACAGTCTGGCCAGGTGTACACCCACACAGTCTGGCCAGGTGTACACCCCCACAGTCTGGCCAGGTGTACACCCACACAGTCTGGCCAGGTGTACACCCACACAGTCTGGCCAGGTCTACACCCCCACAGTCTGGCCAGCTGTACACCCCCACAGTCTGGCCAGGTGTACACCCACACAGTCTGGCCAGGTCTACACCCCCACAGTTTGGCCAGGTGTACACCCACACAGTCAGGCCAGGTGTACACCCACACAGTCAGGTCTGACCTTATCTCCAAGAGTAGGCCAGGATCGTTAGGTCGCTCTTAGTGGTATAATTGCTGCCTTTAACGAGTGGGTGTAACAAGGGAGTGATTTTAATCTGGAATCAGTAATTATATATTCCACTTCCTGGAGTTATCATGACCCCTGCTACAGCATCCTGGGGTTATTGTGACCCCAGCTACAGCTTCACAGGTTATCTTGACCCCAGCTACAGCTTCACAGGTTATCTTGACCCCAGCTACAGCTTTACAGGTTATCTTGACCCCAGCCACAGCTTCCTGGTGTTATAATGACCCCAGCCACAGCTTCCTGGGTTATCGTGACCCCAGCTACAGCTTCCTGGGGCTATAATGACCCCAGCTACAGCTTCCTGGGGTTATTGTGACCCCAGCTACAGCTTCCTGGGGCTATAATGACCCCAGCTACAGCTTCCTGGGGTTATTGTGACCCCAGCTACAGCTTCCTGGGGTTATTGTGACCCCAGCTACAGCTTCCTGGTGTTATAATGACCCCAGCTACAGCTTCCTGGGGTTATATTGACCCCAGCTACAGCTTCACAGGTTATCTTGACCCCAGCCACAGCTTCCTGGGTTATCGTGACCCCAGCTACAGCTTCCTGGGGCTATAATGACCCCAGCTACAGCTTCCTGGGGTTATTGTGACCCCAGCTACAGCTTCCTGGGGCTATAATGACCCCAGCTACAGCTTCCTGGGGTTATTGTGACCCCAGCTACAGCTTCCTGGGGCTATAATGACCCCAGCTACAGCTTCCTGGGTTATCGTGACCCCAGCTACAGCTTCCTGGGGCTATAATGACCCCAGCTACAGCATCCTGGGGTTATTGTGACCCCAGCTACAGCTTCACAGGTTATCTTGACCCCAGCTACAGCTTCCTGGGTTATCTTGACCCCAGCTTCAGCTTCCTGGGTTATCATGACCCAAGGTACAGCTTCCTGGGTTATCATGGCCCCAACAAAAGCTTCCTTGGTTATCATGATCCCAGCTACAGCTTCCTTGGTTATCTTGACCCCAGCTACAGCTTCCTGGGTTATCTTGACCCCAGCTTCAGCTTCCTGGGTTATCATGACCCAAGGTACAGCTTCCTGGGTTATCATGATCCCAGCTACAGCTTCCTGGGTTATCATGACCCCAGCTACAGCTTCCTGGGTTATCATGATCCCAGCTACAGCTTCCTGGGTTATCATGATCCCAGCTACAGCTTCCTGGGTTATCATGACCCCAGCTACAGCTTCCTGGGTTATCATGACCCAAGGTACAGCTTCCTGGGTTATCGTGACCCCAGCTACAGCTTCCTGGGTTATCATGGCCTCAGCTACAGCTTCCTGGGGTTATCATGACCTCAGCTACAGCTTCCTGGGGTTATCTTGACCCCAGCTACCGATTCCTGGGTAATCATGGCCCCAGCTACAGATTCTTAGGGTTATCATGACCCCAGCTACAGCTTCCTGGGTTATCATGACCCCAGCTACAGCTTCCTGGGTTATCATGACCCCAGCTACAGCTTCCTGGCGTTATCGTGACCCCTGCTACAGCTTCCTGGGTTATCATGACCCCAGCTACAGCTTCCTGGGTTATCGTGACCCCAGCTACAGCTTCATGGGTTATCATGACCCCAGCTACAGCTTCCTGGGTTATCGTGACCCCAGCTACAGCTTCCTGGGTTATCATGACCCCAGCTACAGCTTCCTGGGTTATCGTGACCCCAGCTACAGCTTCCTGGGTTATCGTGACCCCAGCTACAGCTTCCTGAGGTATCATGACCCAAGCTACAGCTTCCTGGCGTTATCGTGACCACAGCTACAGCTTCCTGGGGTATCATGACCCAAGCTACAGCTTCCTGGCGTTATCGTGACCACAGCTACAGCTTAATGGGTTATCATGACACCAGTTACAGCTTAATGGGTTATCATGAGAGGCAGAAAGGAACTTTGAGAAAGGTATAGCGGACAAATGTAAAACAAATCCAGACCTTTTATATAAATTCAATAAAAGCAAGTTGCATGTAATGGATAAAATCGAAAGATTAAGAACGGGAAACAGGACTACTGAGAATGAAAAAAAACATGTGTGAAAGTCTAAATGAACAGTTCCAAAGTTTGTGTGTTTGGCGGGTGGGGGGTGGGGGGGTGGGGTGGGTGAGTGTGCTAGTGTGCTAGTGGTGGAGGGCGGGCCAGCGTGGTGTGTGTGTGCGGGGGGGGGGGGGGGCTGAGTGTGCTAGTGAAGGAGGGTGGGCCAGCGTGGTGTGTGTGGGGGGGGGCTGAGTGTGCTAGTGGAGGAGGGGGGCCAGCGTGGTGTGTGTGTGGGGGAGGGGGCTGAGTGTGCTAGTGGAGGAGGGCGGGCCAGCGTGGTGTGTGTGGGGGGGGGCTGTGTGTGCTAGTGAAGGAGGGTGGGCCAGCGTGGTGTGTGTGGGGGGGGGGCTGAGTGTGCTAGTGGTGGAGGGCGGGCCAGCGTGGTGTGTGTGTGGGGGGGCTGAAAGTGCTAGTGGTGGAGGGCGGGCCAGCGTGGTGTGTGTGTGTGGGGGGGGCTGAGTGTGCTAGTGAAGGAGGGTGGGCCAACGTGGTGTGTGTGGGGGGGGGGCTGAGTGTGCTAGTGGAGGAGGGGGCCAGCGTGGTGTGTGTGTGTGGGGGGGGGGGCTGAGTGTGCTAGTGAAGGAGGGCGGGCCAGCGTGGTGTGTGTGTGTGGGGGGGGCTGAGTGTGCTAGTGGAGGAGGGCGGGCCAGCGTGGTGTGTGTGTGGGGGGGGGGGGCTGAGTGTGCTAGTGGTGGAGGGCGGGCCAGCGTGGTGTGTGTGTGTGGGGGGGGGGGGGCTGAGTGTGCTAGTGAAAGAGGGCGGGCCAGCGTGGTGTGTGTGTGTGGGGGGGGGGCTGAGTGTGCTAGTGGTGGAGGGCGGGCCAGCGTGGTGTGTGGGGGGGGGCTGAGTGTGCTAGTGAAGGAGGGTGGGCCAGCGTGGTGTGTGTGTGTGGGGGGGGGGCTGAGTGTGCTAGTGGAGGAGGGCGGGCCAGCGTGGTGTGTGTGTGTGGGGTGGGGGGGGGCTGAGTGTGCTAGTGGAGGAGGGGGCCAGCGTGGTGCGTGTGTGTGGGGGGGGGGCTGAGTGTGCTAGTGGTGGAGGGCGGGCCAGCGTGGTGTGAGTGTGGGGGGGGGGCTGAGTGTGCTAGTGGTGGAGGGCGGGCCAGCGTGGTGTGTGTGTGGGGGGGCTGAAAGTGCTAGTGGTGGAGGGCGGGCCAGCGTGTGGGGGGGGGTGTGTGTAGTGTGGGGGGGGGCTGAGTGTGCTAGTGAGTGGAGGGTGGGCCAGCGTGGTGTGTGTGTGGGGGGGGGGCTGAGTGTGCTAGTGGAGGAGGGCGGGCCAGCGTGGTGTGTGTGTGGGGGGGGGGGCTGAGTGTGCTAGTGAAGGAGGGCGGGCCAGCGTGGTGTGTGTGTGGGGGGGGGGGCTGAGTGTGCTAGTGGAGGAGGGCGGGCCAGCGTGGTGTGAGTGTGTAGTGGAGGGGGGGGGCTGAGTGTGCTAGTGTGTGGAGGGCGGGCCAGTGTGTGTGCTGAGTGTGCTAGTGGTGGAGGGCGGGCCAGCGTGGTGTGTGTGTGTGGGGGGGGGCTGAGTGTGCTAGTGGGGGAGGGCGGGCCAGCGTGGTGTGTGTGGGGGGGGGCTGAGTGTGCTAGTGAAGGAGGGCGGGCCAGCGTGTGTGTGTGTGTGGGGGGGGGGGGCTGAGTGTGCTAGTGGTGGAGGGCGGGCCAGCGTGTGTGGGGGGGGCTGAGTGTGCTAGTGGAGGGGGCGGGCCAGCGTGGTGTGTGTGTGGGGGGGGAGGGCTGAGTGTGCTAGTGGTGGAGGGCGGGTGTGGTGTGTGTGTGGGGGGGGCTGAGTGTGCTAGTGGTGGAGGGCGGGCCAGCGTGGTGTGTGTGTGTGGGGGGGTGTGCTAGTGGTGGAGGGGGGGGGGGCTGAGTGTGCTAGTGGAGGAGGGCGGGCCAGCGTGGTGCGTGTGTGGGGGGGGGGCTGAGTGTGCTAGTGGTGGAGGGCGGGCCAGCGTGGTGTGTGTGTGTGGGGGCTGAGTGTGCTAGTGGTGGAGGGCGGGCCAGCGTGGTGTGTGTGTGGGGGGGCTGAGTGTGCTAGTGGTGGAGGGCGGGCCTGCGTGGTGTGTGTGGGGGGGGGGCTGAGTGTGCTAGTGGTGGAGGGCGGGCCAGCGTGTGTGTGTGTGTGGGGGGGGGGCTGAGTGTGCTAGTGGTGGAGGGCGGGCCAGCGTGGTGTGTGTGTGGGGGGGGGCTGAGTGTGCTAGTGGTGGAGAGCGGGCCAGCGTGTGTGTGTGTGTGTGCTAGTGGTGGGGGGGGCCAGCGTGGTGTGTGTGTGGGGGGGGGCTGAGTGTGCTAGTGTGCTAGTGGTGGAGGGCGGGCCAGCGTGGTGTGTGTGTGTGGGGGGGGGGGCTGAGTGTGCTAGTGGTGGAGGGCGGGCCAGCGTGGTGTGTGTGTGGGGGCTGAGTGTGCTAGTGGAGGAGGGCGGGCCAGCGTGGTGTGTGTGTGGGGGGGGGCTGAGTGTGCTAGTGGTGGAGGGCGGGCCAGCGTGGTGTGTGTGTGGGGGGGCTGAGTGTGCTAGTGGTGGAGGGCGGGCCAGCGTGTGTGTGTGGGGGGGGCTGAGTGTGCTAGAGGTGGAGGGCGGGCCAGCGTGGTGTGTGTGTGGGGGGGGGCTGAGTGTGCTAGTGGTGGAGGGCGGGCCAGCGTGGTGTGTGTGTGGGGGGGGGCTGAGTGTGCTAGTGGTGGAGGGCGGGCCAGCGTGGTGTGTGTGGGGGGGGCTGAGTGTGCTAGTGGTGGAGGGCGGGCCAGCGTGGTGTGTGTGTGTGGGGGGGGGCTGAGTGTGCTAGTGGTGGAGGGCGGGCCAGCGTGTGTGTGTGTGTGGGGGGGGGCTGAGTGTGCTAGTGGTGGAGGGCGGGCCAGCGTGGTGTGTGTGTGGGGGGGGGGGGAGTGTGCTAGGGCCAGCGCCAGCGTGGTGTGTGTGTGTGGGGGGGGGCTGAGTGTGCTAGTGGAGGAGGGCGGGCCAGCGTGGTGTGTGTGTGTGGGGGGGGGGCTGAGTGTGCTAGTGGGGAGGGCGGGCCAGCGTGGTGTGTGTGTGTGCTGAGTGTGGAGGAGGGCGGGCCAGCGTGGTGTGTGTGTGGGGGGGCTGAGTGTGCTAGTGGTGGAAGGCGGAACAGCGTGGTGTGTGTATTTGGGAGGGGGGGCTGAGTGTGCTAGTGGAGGAGGGCGGGCCAGCGTGGTGTGTGTGGGGGGGGGGCTGAGTGTGCTAGTGGTGGAGGGCGGGCCAGCGTGTGTGTGTGTGTGGAGGAGGGCGGGGGGGTGTGTGCTAGTGGTGGAGGGCGGGCCAGCGTGGTGTGTGTGTGGGTGTGGGGGCTGAGCGTGCTAGTGGTGGAGGGCGGGCCAGCGTGGTGTGTGTGTGTGGGGGGAGGCTGAGTGTGCTAGTGGTGGAGGGCGGACCAGCGTGGGTGTGTGTGTGCTAGGGGGGGGGCTGAGTGTGCTAGTGGTGGAGGGCGGGCCAGCGTGGTGTGTGTGTGTGGGGGGGGGCTGAGTGTGCTAGTGGAGGAGGGCGGGCCAGCGTGGTGTGTGTGTGTGTGGGGGGGGGGGCTGAGTGTGCTAGTGGTGGAGGGCGGGCCAGCGTGGTGTGTGTGTGTGGGGGGGGGCTGAGTGTGCTAGTGGAGGGCGGGCCAGGTGGTGTGTGTGGGGGGGGGCTGAGTGTGCTAGTGGTGGAGGGCGGGCCAGCGTGGTGTGTGTGGGGGGGGGGCTGAGTGTGCTAGTGAAGGAGGGCGGGCCAGCGTGGTGTGTGTGTGGGGGGGGGGGGGGGCTGAGTGTGCTAGTGGTGGAGGGCGGGCCAGCGTGGTGTGTGTGAGTGGCTAGTGGTGGGGGGGGCTGAGTGTGCTAGTGGTGGAGGGCGGGCCAGCGTGGGTGTGTGTGTGGGGGGGGGAGGTGAGTGTGCTAGTGGTGGAGGGCGGGCCAGCGTGGTGTGTGTGTGTGGGGGGGGGCTGAGTGTGCTAGTGGTGGAGGGCGGGCCAGCGTGGTGTGTGTGTGTGGGGGGGGAGGGCGGGCCAGCGTGGTGTGTGTGTGTGGGCTGAGTGTGCTAGTGGAGGAGGGCGGGCCAGCGTGGTGTGTGTGTGGGGGGGGGGGGCTGAGTGTGCTAGTGGTGGAGGGCGGGCCAGCGTGGTGTGTGTGTGTGGGGGGGGGGGGGCTGAGTGTGCTAGTGGGGGAGGGCGGGCCAGCGTGGTGTGTGTGTGTGTGCTAGTGGTGGGGGGGGGCTGAGTGTGCTAGTGTGCTAGTGGTGGAGGGCGGGCCAGCGTGTGTGTGTGTGTGCTGAGTGTGCTAGTGGGGGGGGGG